AGGGGGGGCTTTTTTTCACAATGGGGTCCCCAGGCGGAAAAACCCAAACCCCCGAGGGAAAACCCGGGGGGGGGGGGTTTTTTTTCCACCGTTGTTGCGAGGGGGAAAAACCCCAACCCCGGGGGGAACCCAAAGGGGGGGGGGGGGGGAAATAACGGGGTTTAAAAAGTGGGGAAAAAAGGGGGGGGGGGTGCCTTTTCTCCCCTTTTTCGGGGAGTCGCAAACCCGCCCCCTTGAAGGGGGCGGGGTGGGGTTTCCCCAAGGGGGGGGGGGGGGGGGGGGGGTTAGCCCCAACGAAGCCGGGACAAGTCCAAGTCGGGGTTCATGTGGTCTACCCAGGCAGGCAGCGCAGATGCGCCCCAACTGTTACATTAGGAGGACAAGGATGGCAAGGACAGCACCAGCCACTCGGGCGGCATGCTGTCAAGATGACAACAGCGGCAAGCAGCACAGAACAGAGGGAGGAACAGCGGCAACTCTGTACACGCCATGTATACAGCAACAGCAGCAGCAGCAGCAGCAACAGCAACACATAACCACGAGCAACAACCATGCTACGCTAACACGGTTGGATGTGTTTCCACCAAATGCATCTCCGAAGTGAATAATCGGTCGGTACCACGACGTACGGATGATGTATACACCTTCTCGACACAGCAGCCGCAACAGCAGCAACACAAACATCACAAGCAAACACACATACCTTCTCGATGCCGGCAGCCTTGAGCTCCCGGCGTTTCTGGAGCGTGGCGAGGCGCTTGGCTTCCTCGAGCTGCTTCTCCCGGGCCTTACGCTTGGCCTTCTTGCCCCGGGTGTTGGCCAGACGAGCCCTGGCATTGGTTTTACGGTTGTACAAATAGTGCTGATGATCACGACGACGACACGCCACGATCACAACGACTATTATAATGTAGCTTGATAAACGACGGCGACACCATGATGCGCATGGCGATGCCGATAACCGAATGGTGCTCTGGAGTTTTTTTGTTCTGTGTCGGTCATGAGACGAAGACGGCATGCCATCGTACTAATGACGCTACTGCAATACATGTAACGTGAAAACACCGACGACGATGGCCATGTAGCGTTGAATAGGACGGAGGACGATATGACATGATCACAACCCCATAGCTTGATACGGACGGACGATGGCAGTACGTTGCGGTCATGACGATGTCGACAACCCGATGATGATACGTACACAAGCCCTGTTGACGATTGTGACGATGACGTCATGCCGTGAGCAGAACAACAAAGGGCGGTCGTCGACAACCCGCCATGATGACGGCGACCCCTAGGAATACCGTACTAGCTGGTGCACCATCTTGGGACAAACGCCACAGCAGCATCAGACCAGCAACAACAAAAACAACAGCAGCGCCAGCACCAGCACCAGCAGCAACCACAACAAGAGCAAAAGCAACACCACCACCAACATCAACAACGACAACCACCACCACCAGCAACACCACTATCACCACCATCGCCAGCAAAAACAACAACAACAAAAAAACAACAACACCGCCAATAACAACAGCATTGCCAGCAACAACACCAACAATACTCCCAACAGCAGACGGCGTGAGATGGAACATCCAACAATACCTGGCCTCCGAGAGCATCTCCTTCTCGTCTTCGTCCATGTCGATGGGATCGGGTCTCGCGGGCTTCGTCTCCGGGTGTGGGTCGATCTCCCCCGGACGCAAACGCCTGTATACATGACGACGAAAAAACCCAAACGAGGAGACGTACACCATTCAACAACATTTCAGTTTGGGCTCGATCAAGAAACAGGCAGCTACGGACGCAATCGCCTGCATGCATGACGCAAAAGAAAAGTAGCGCAAAATTTCACCAAATCATTCTTCAATGTACCGTTGTTTTCTTCGCATTGTGCTCGGTCAAGAAGCAGAGACTGCTAAATGAGGCCGCGCACAGTAGTCCTCTGGACGCAAACGCCTGCATCCATGACGGAAGAAAAAACAACTGACAAAAAAAAATCACCAACTAGATGGATACCGCCGTTGTTTTCCCCACAAGGTCAAGAAGCAGCGACAACAGAGGCCGCGTAAACAAAACCACACCGGTCGCGTTGTACGAGGCCGGCCGTTGAATTGTGTTCGGGTGAGCGACATCGTAGGGGCCGGCCAAATCGAGTCACGCAAAAACTCCAGCTGCTGTGCTTAGAGTGCGATGAGGGTCACGCCACCAATTTGTTCTTTTTCGGTGCAGCACACGTAGGGTCACACCCCCAAGACCTTCGCCGTGCTGTGCCTGTGGCTCGGAGTTTTACACTCTCCGTTGCCGCCGGCAACAGCGCCTACGGTCATGGTGTATTTTTTTCTCCGCTCTCACCTATAGAGGACCAATATGACACAAGTTTTTTTTTGCTCTCACACCTAGCCATCCCGACATATTTCATAGGATCATCCGACGCCTAGTGAGTAGAAAATACGCATACAACCACCGAAAGACTACAGACACGTTCGGGAAAATATCTTCTGCTCTCTCGCCAACAGAACGGACCATCCGACCTCACTGTCTTCTCAGCTTTAACCCGCGCAGAACCGCCAGCACTTTTGTGTTTTCATTTCCTTTCTCTTTTCATTTCGGTCAGCCCTTCTCACCAACATAACAGACCATCCCACACAATTTTCTCAGCCCTGACCTCCACAGAATCAGCCGACACTCGTTTTTTTCCCCTTCGCTTCCGTTTCAGTTCATTTTGGTCAGTTCTTTTCACCTGGGGTCATCCGCCATCGCCGCCCCGCCCTCCCCCCCCGCGGCGCCGCCGGAATCCTGGGCCATGTCCAGCAGCCGCTCGTAGTGCTGCAGGCACTGAGCGGCCGTGCGCCCCACGATGGGGGCGATCGTCCTCCACTGGTTGGGCATGAGCTTGGCCATGTGGAGCAGCTTCTCCTCCTCCTCGCGGTTCCATTCCGTCTTCTTGATGGAAGGATCCAGCCACTCGTACCTGTTTGTGTGGTGATTGCCGTGGATGGGATAAAAGTATTTGATACGTGGTTTTAACCGCGGGGTTTAAAAATTGTGGTTCCATTCCGTCTTCTTGGTGGAAGGGTCTAGCCACTCGTACCTGTTGTTGGTTGTGTCGTGGTGATTTACCGTGGTTGGGACAAGAGCTTCATGGATTAACCGTGGGCGTTACTAATTGCGGAATTGTCGTCGTCCACATATTCCATCTAGGGGCACTAGAAACAACGGCAACAACAACAGCAACAGCAATAGGAATAGCAGGAGCAGCAACAGCACCAACAACCACAACAACAACAACAACAACAACAACAACAGCAACAATAACAACAACAACAGCAAGAATAACAGCACCCACAACAGCAGCATCATCAACAACAACAACAACCGCACCAATAACAGCACCAACCGCAACAGCAGAGAGGAACAACCACCACAACAACAACCACAACCACAACCTCAACGGCCGCTCTCACCATCGGGCCTTGCCCTGCTTCGGGGAC